CAAAGCTTCACGTTGCCACAATAATGGAGATGCATGTGTTTCATCTTTACAAGTCAAAAGGAAGCAGTCAGAATAAACACACACCAGAGCAAAATAAGTTCTTTAAAGAGGGGACAGCAGGGGAGACAGAGGGGGCAGAGGCATGGAGGATTAATACCCACATCATTCAACACACGGGAGAAATGCAACTACAGAGCAAGTGATGTCATGGTGATATCACACATCCACAATCTATGAGTGTGGAGGGGGTAAGAGGAGGGGGTATACGTACTTTCAGCAGCTAGCAGTCCTAGAGACAGCACAGCAGGAGGAGAAAACAACACCAAAGAAAGAGAAGCTGAGATTAGAGGAGGTTTAAAAGCAACTACGGCTGCAGAGATGAACAAAAAACAAAACGCAGCTACGGCAGACAGAGAGAATCAGCAAAAGCAGCTAAATCTGGACAAAGTCTGCCGAGCTGCTGCAGGGATCTACAACGCAACATGTCTAGTCGAGCAACATGTCTGAAGCAACACAGCTGCAAAAATAAAACAGTCACCAGGAAGCAAGACTGCAGCAGACTGCCAGCCTCAGCACAACGGACATACGAGTCCACGCGGCTGCAGCAGCTGCTTTTACAGCACAAACTCGGACAATAAATAAAAAATAAATAAATAAACAAAACAGGTTCATTAGACTGATCCGCTGATTAGCTGACACTGAAACGCACTCAGTTTCTATCGTTTAGAACTGGGTCGGGTTTCTTTGTGTTGCTCAGCTCTGGCCGGCACGGCCTGCAGTCTTCTCAACAGCAGAAGTGAAAGTGGAACGCTGAGACAGGGAAGTGAGGCTGCTGTTGGGAAATGTGTTCATTAAACAGGGAAGCTGTGCACCGACAGCTGCTTTTCACAAAGACACCAGAATAGAAACCACGTGAGCACAAACAGAGCTAGAAAGCAATTGTGATCATGTTCTGTTGCGCAACATGCACACACTGAACACTTTTAAAGAGGGTTTCAATAATTGAATCCATCCATTAAAATAACCTTACTGTAATCAACACCATTTCACTGTCCTTCAGGTTATATTTGAATTAATGCGGCATGCTTTTCACTTCTTTTAGGCTCTTTGTCATACACACAAACAATCTAATACCTGCGTCTCCCTGTTGCAAACAAATTTAGAGGAAAAAGTCTGCCTGACAGTTACCTGAGGAGGTGGGATCATCTGAGAAATCATGGAGCTCCTCAGGGGGGTCACCATAGAAGGAATTAAACTTGTGGCTGGAAACAGCAGCCAGCACTGCACCCTGGGACAGAGAGTAGGGGGTAACATGGATATTAAGTAAAATATACGTATATAAATAGATGTTATATATAACAGTTTATAGTGTTTAAAAGGTTGAGATGAGAGTAGAAATTCTGCCAGCAGCTTAATCTGGGTCATTAGAAACATCTGCACAGAGGGGATGTGGAGAGACTTCCTCTCATACCGAAACCTTTCCTCTTGGAGTCTAATAACACTGCGCTAACCTTCAGCTTCCTCCTGGCGTTGAACTTTCTCAGCTGCTCAACTGTTTCGGGCAGGTGGATCTTGTAGGCATACCTGTCCCTCTCCTGCATTTGTTGGGAATCACAGACATAAAGATGAAGGACATTAGCGCTCGCACAGAGACAGTGAACGGATGTGAAAGCAGAGCTGTGGTTCTGAGCAAAAGGAAGTGTGCTTGAGTTAACATCAGTCAGGCCAGTGGTTTAAAGGTGAATTTGAGCTTGCGAAAACATTTACAGCAGGCAGCAAATATTCACGCCCGTTTCTGGGTTTTTAAAATAGTAAACACGATTATGAAAAAGAAAAGAAAAAAAAGAGGAAATCAAACGACAATAACCTCCTACAGCTGCCGAGATGTGAAGTGAGAGTATTTTTACTTGCATTCACTTAATTTGAATGTTAGTAGTATGTGCATGTGTGTGTGTGTGTCTGTGAGTGTGTGTCTTGTGATCTTGCCTTCAGCCAGGGGTGGTTGAGAGCCTCATAGACAGTGATTCTCTCAGCAGGGTCAAGCATCAGCATGCGCCTCACCAGGTCCTTGGCGCTCTCAGAGATGTGAGCCCACTGGCGCGGGTTCATCTGAAACCCAGAGAATTATTCAGAAACGCGTGAAGTAGCCAGGATGCCAGCCGAATCTGGCAGTAATTAAAGATCCGAGGACAAATTACACACCATTTAATGCTTCATAAATAAACCCACATCATTTTTCTCCCCCCTGTTGTGCAAAATGTTTCGGTGGTTTGCTTCACTGTTTGGTTTTTTTTGCAGCAGCTTGATGGAAGATAGCAACGGTGTTGTCCATCACTCTGCACACTGTGACTGCATCTGCTACAGATTAGTGCACCAAACAGGAAACTCATACTGTGCTGAAAGCAGATAATTCATCAGACCTTTATCTTAGTTTTTTTCTGCTGATACAGTCACTTTATTCATCACCTCTCACATTGTTGTTGTGTGAGAGAAAAAGCTGAAGACACCGGGGGGGAGAGGAAAGGCAGGCCGCAATTTGAAGTTCTGAAGTGATGTGGTAAAAGCACTGCATTCAGTTCCTGTAATCCAAGACCTCAACCTTGTATCTAACATGCACAACAGCACAGTTCAGTCTGAGCCTCAGGGCCAAAGCTCTGGTGCTTCTCTGTTCACCAACAGGCCGTTTTGGCATTTAGCTCCTACCTTGTATTTCCCTTTGATGATAGCCTCAAACAAGCGCTCCTTGGTGCCGTAGAAAGGCAGGCAGCCGGACAGCAGAATGAAGAGGATCACTCCACATCCCCACACATCTACCGGTTTGCCATAAGGCTCCCTTTTCACCACCTCTGGGGCCATGAAGTGGGGCGTGCCCACTCGACCTGAGGAAAGAGATACATTTCATACACTACACTGATACAGTTTCATGATGAACTTTTTATTATTATTATTATTTGAAACACATTTAAACAAGCCCGTCCCGTGCTCTTTTTTAGGGCGCTGCTGCTTGGAGCCTATCTCACAATCCAATACGAGAGAGTCAGAGTGGATAGCTCAGACAGTTACATGTTGTGATTCATCTAATGAGCATGTCTTTGGACTGTGGGAACAGACTAGGGCTGCTCGAGGAGACCCACATAGACCTGCTTACTCATATCCAAAATACTGCCCGGTCATTTCGCTAAACCACAACCAGTGAAAACCTGTTTCTAATAACATGGCAGTTTTTATTAAGTAGGATATTTTTATTGAAACATTACAAAGAAACAAGCAAATCGATTACATTTCATTATTATTAAGGTTGTGGACAGAATGTAAGCATGAGTGAGACGTACAGTAAGGGGGGAAAAACCCGACCTTTAAAAGAGACTATGGAGGTGACTGCATACGTAAGCATTAGTCTGCGTGAAGTCTGTTACCTCATTAACAAGCACTTTGCTGTCATTTCTGCATAATTGGTAACCACAGGTGTGGGGGAAGACCTACACTAGTTTTGTGGGCCACCTGTAATCACGGAATGCAAGAAAACCCTTGAAAAGTGTTTCACTGTACCTCCGGCTACTAAACCAGACTCTCCCAGCTGGATTGCCACTCCGAAGCCTCCGAGTTTCACTGGAGCAGAGTTCTCCTTTGAGGCCAGGAGCACACAGTGAGGCTGCAGAGGAATGAAAGACACGCGTCAGCACAGTGCAAATGAAGACAAGCTAATACTTGGTACAATTAGGGCCTGACTGATGCGGGACAGTCCCAGCAGACTTTAAAAATCACACTGACTTTTTTTAAAATAAAAGAGGCACAAGCACAGACACTGCAGAGCATTGCTTTGCTCTCTGTGCAAAAGTGCAAGATTCCATTATGTTCAAATGGTGGTTAGTGTACCCTGGTTTCACTTGAGCTTGCACAAATCTGACAGTGTGTTCAAAAGGAGATGCACATTTTTTGTCTCACACTTTGTGTGCTACAGAGCTCGGTGTTGAATCTGACTCCAGCAGTGAGCAATGGAGAACTCTGGAAGTAATTCACAAAACTGAAGAGACCTTTTTTAACCCTCCAGTATGCTTTTTAGATTCTGGTTAATTCATTTATCATAGAAACTTGGCAGGATACAGACAGACACGCACAGCTCTATAAATGGTAGACAGCAGGAATCAATAGCAAACATTAATATATATACAAAAACAACAGAAACGCAACAACAAAACACATTAGAGAACAAGTTGAAAAGTGCCTGGAAGTAGCACAAAGAAAGAGGCTGTATGTACTTAGACTAGTGTGAAAAAGGTGACACCGAAGCTTCACCGTGTAGTCACACAGGACTAGTACTGCAGGTCAGAGGCAGGTAAGAAAATTTTTGCCGAGTGCCGTGATAGCTGCTGCTAAATTACAACGGCTAGTTTATTAAGGAGAAGGACATTAAGCCAACCGCGTTCACCGGCAGACTTGTAAAAACTGCTTAATCAAAATTGTTATGACACTTTACTTAATATCTAATTCACTGGGCAAATAGTGCGGCGACTCGCCACGACCCAAAGCTTTCTGCGAGGAAAACTAATCAGCTGATGTCAGCGGCTGATGAGCAGCGAGGACGGTGTTGCGTGGCATGTTTTCCATCACGGGTTCTGTGTCAGTGCTAATAAAACTGCTTTCCATCACATTTTCACATATTTGTTCTTTTATAATTGTAAATCCAAGTTGCACACCTAATTTTTTTAAAAAGACAACAAATGAAATGATGGGTTTCAGTGATGTATTGTCACACTTTTTGTGACAGTAAGAAGACATGCAAAACCACAGTGAGTGTGAAAAGTGGTGGGCTCACTTCCTGTCTTCTTATTCTTTGCAAATTTTGTAGGGGGGGCGGAGAGAGAGAGAGAGCGAGAGAGAGGGAGCGAGAGAGAGCGAGAGAGAGAGAGAGAGAGAGGGGGCCGTCTCACATCTATGAGAGAGGAGAGGCTATGAAAGAGCTTTCCAGTAAAGACTGAAGACAAGCTGAGCAGAAGCGGTGACACAGACAAGCCTGCAGGATAAATGACTTCAGAGGTGAAAACGGCAAAAAGGCGGTGCTTAGCCAGGACTAGTTTCTTTTAACCTAAAACAATTAAACTCACCTTTATTCGTTTAACAAAAGCTTAAAGAGACTGATAATGGAGCAGCATTAGAAGTTGGATGGAGGAAAATACACGCAGGACTACTGTGAGCTCACACTCCTACACATTCACAGCTGTGTTGGATCTACTGTGGAAGGATTATTGATGGTGAGTGTTGCACCTTAATCCAAACATCTGTGTGTACGAGTCAGAGTGACTGTGAGCGCTTTTGCATCTGCAGCGTGCACCCCTTGGCTCCGCTCTACCACCGTGGGACTGGAATTTATGCGTTAAACAGGCATAAAACTTCTAATTAGTCATGACTCCTGCTCCCACCCGTGAAAGCTAAATCACAGTGGAACTTTGAAAAAGCTGCACAGTGTACGGAGCTTTAATTTTGTAAGGTGCCGCACCTTTTTTTCCAACACAAATTACTATAATTTCCACTTGATGGTGGAAAACTCACAGATCATTACTTGTGTGTGACCTTAATCTACAACCTACGTATTACTCACCTCACTGTGTATTACTCATAAAACACACAATTGCAGTTTCAGTCCGTGCACCTTGTTTTGCTGCACTTTTGACTGCAAGAGCTTCTTTGTATGTCTATTCAGTGAAAATAAAAATTTCCCCCCCTTTTTTTCCCCTTAGGTCCTGATGTTTAAAACTTCTGAGCCACAATGAATACGACTTTCAGGCCGGTACTCCCAACCTCTGCAGTGTTCGACACCTCTCTCCCTATATCCACGTCATCCCTCCCAGGCTACATGTCATCGGCTTCTCTTTCTCCTTTCTCCACCTCAAACTACACAGCGGTCACTTCAACCCCGATGCCTTGCTCATTTAATAATGAAAGCCTCCGTGTTCTGCAGGCGGTGCTCTACTCTCTTTTCTTCATCTTTGGACTTGTGGGTAACCTCTTTGCTTTGTGGGTCTTCCTGTTCCTGCATTCGGGCCGAAACTCAGTGCGGGTGTTCCTCATCAACTGTGCAGTGGCTGATCTGGTCTTCCTGGCATGCCTGCCCTTCAGGGTCTTCTTCCATATTAATGGAAACAAATGGGTACTGGGACCTGTGGCCTGCAAGATGGTGGGAAACCTATTTTACATGAACATGTACATGAGCATATTTCTACTCGGATTCATCAGCCTGGACAGATACTTGAGGCTGAAGGGGAAGGGCAGAGCACGGAGAGGCCTAAGGCTGAGGCTGTGGGGGCAAAGCAAGCCGTGGAGCTGGGTGGCATGTGGAGTTCTGTGGATTGCGTTCCTGGTGGGTGTGATTCCCATGATTGCCACACCAGAGGATAAGGAACACAGCGATAAGTGCTTCCAGTACAAAACGCGACAAAAAGCCTACTGGAAAGCCTACATCAACGCAGGGCTGGTGGTGATGTTCTGGTTCATCTTCATCATCCTCGTGGTTTCCTATGCCAAGATTGCCTCACGGCTGCAGCAGGTGTCACGGGACAAGCCGGACCTACCTAATGCACAGAGATACAGGAGAACCGCAAAGAAGTCCTTCTTTGTCCTCTTTCTCTTCACCATCTGCTTCGGGCCCTACCACGCCTTTCGCCCCTTCTACATCTCCTCCCAATTGAGCTCAAGCCTATCCTGTAATTACATGCAAATCATGGACTGGACCAATGAGGTGATGTTGTTATTCTCAGCCTTTAACAGTTGCTTGGATCCTGTCATGTACTTTCTGTTATCGGGCTCGGTGCGCAAAGCTGCCCTCCAAGCACTCGGACGCAGACTCGGCCACCGGCTTCTCTTCCTGAATGACGTGACATCCAACAGCTCCACCATGGATTTCAGACGGCCGTCTGTCCCTGTGGTTGTACCCAACCTCGGTGTTAACACTCAGTCGCTCACCCCCAGAACCAGTATGTGTGTCATCAACTCTAACCTCCGCTGCACAAGAGTGACTACGCTTCCACCTACTGGCCAACAGTGATCACAGGAGGAAAAAAAATCGGAGTAGAGCATTTCTATTGACAGCTTCGGTTCTAACATATTAGAACCCCCGTACATGAACCCCTGTCAGAGATGGATTTTTAACCAATTTCCATTATTGGTTAAAGACAACAGATTTATGTCTGAAGACGTACTACAGCATCAGCCGTGTCTTTAAAAATTTACATTTCTTTAAAGACTAATGATGATGTGAAATGTGTGTGCGTGTGTGTGAGTGAATGTCAAGAATTTTCAGTATTAAAAAAAAGTTTTATGGAGAAAAAATAAATTGCTGTAGACTTTAATAGAGAACTAACTTTTCTCTTTTCACACTCTTTCAGCACAGAGCACATTATATTGGCATACATATAGTAGTGGTGGATCCTCTAACAACAACCAGTGTTTCAAACAATGAGGTCAGAGTATGTAAGAGCTCAGGCTTCCTATTGCGTTAAATGCTTTGTCTGTGAATCTTAACTCTGGATCCAGTGAAAGAAAAACTAATATCATTTTATTTATTAAGTGTGAATCATGCAGATTAATCGCAGTGAGTCTGCTCATGTAAGATAATAGTTTATTTACCCCAAATTTGTTTTAATTTTGAGTGGCTGGAATGGACAATAACCTATCCTGTAAGCCTTTTGCTTTGCTTGAGCTCTGGAGCTCAATAGTCTGCTCTTACAAGAAGCAAACGAAAGGCAGCTTTGACCCACCATGATGATCAGCGCTTGCACTGGTTCTGCTGCTGACAGCTTTGAGCCCTGTGTGGTCAAATGGCTCAGATGGGATCAAGGGCCTGATTCAGCACTGCTCCATATGGTCTAGTAGTGTCGGACACCTGTGTTTGAGGGTTAATCCTGTTGGAAATACTGGGGGATTCTGATTTTGCTCTAGGAATGCCTAATAAATCCACACAGTTGATTTATTTACAGCCGTAGATCCCCAAGTATTTAAGTAAATATATTTCTAAAGGTGACATCTGGTCAAAACTTCATATTAATAGCACATTTAGAAATGTATTTACTTACAACTTTACTAAAATTGGTGTTCAATATTTATTTTACCGCTGTATGCTACAGCTAACACTGACTCTTGCTGAGGTGTTGGTTTGCCAAAAGGAAAAAAAAAAAGAGACTTCATGGTGGTTTATTCTAAAAACCACAGAGTAACTAAACTTAATATTAAAAGCGGATATTGAGGGAAATTTTCGGGTAAAGCGTGGGTTGCTTTTAGCATTTGCCTTCCCACAAGCAGTGAAGACAGCGTCTTCACAGGAAGGCAGTAACACTGTGCAGTATACACTTCTGGTGTGATAAATATATTTAATAGGTTGTCCTTTGCGAGTCACGGAACATGTTCTGTGGTTTCACTAGCTTGACTGCGCGAAAGCTCACCTTTACATCACGGTGAATCACATTGTTGTCATGGCAGTATCGAAGCGCCTCCAGAATCTGCCTCATGTAGTGGCTGGAGGGACAGAAAGCAGAAACAGAAGGGGGGCATCATTTAGAGCGTGCACAGAGATGTTGTGTATTTCAGGCTTTAATAATATTTGAAAATGTGAAGCCCACACTTAGCAGACTGTGTCCCCTACCTGGCCACTGCTTCGCTGTACACAAACCCAGCATCAGCTCGCTTCACGATTTCAAAACACAGGTCCGCACCGTCCATACTAGAAAAAAAAGAAGGAAGGTTTATGGTGGGTATGAAATGATCTGTTTAGTAATGAGTAAGCTGAGAACTATTTATTAGTATAGATTTAGATTTGGTTTAGATTCAGGCTACATTTGAATCATTTTAATAATCAGATGAAATACAAAAAAAAATAACAGCCGGTACAATAAATCATTTTTCCTTCAAACACTTCTCATGTACAGTGCTGTAAAAAGTATTTGCCTCCTCCCTGATTTCTTTTTTTGCATATTTGTCACACTTGAATGTTTCAGCTCATCAAACAAATTTTAATATTAGCCAAAAATAACCCAAGTAAATCCAGAATGCAGTTGGCCCTGTGTGAGAAAGTAAGGCCCACTCTTCTTTATACAAGTGTTTTAATTCAGCCACACTGGAGGGTTTTCAAGCATGAACAGGCTGTTTAAGGTCATGCCATCAGATTTAAGTCTGGACTTTGCCAAGGCCACTCTAAAACCTTTGTTTTTTTTCTTCAAATAAGCTAATCACAGGTGGACTAGCTGCTGTGTTTTGGATCTGTTTCATTATAATTAAAAGCGCTCTTGAGCTTCACGACATGAACTGATGGTCGTACATTCTCCTTCAGGACTTTGCAGTAGAGAGCAGAATTCATGGTTCCATCAATCACAGCAACAACACAGCCCGAGAGCATCACACTACCACCACCATGTTTGCCTGTTGCTATGATGATCTTTTTATAAAATGTTGTTAGTTGTACATCAGATGTAACAGGACTCAAACCTTGTGTTTTTTAGATGTTATTCTGGGGTCTTTAGTGACCTCCTTGATGAGTGGTGCACTCTTGGAGTCATTCTGGTAGGCTAGCGTCTCATTCCATTTATGGATAATGACTCTCATTGTGGTTCGCTGGAGGCCCAAAGCCTAAGAAGTGGCTTTTGTAACCCTTTCCAGATTGATACATGTCAGTGACTTTGTGTCTCAGCTGCATCTTTAGATTGTTGAATGATGCTTTTTGAGAGATTTTTTTAAACCCTACTTCATTTTGTCAGACAAGTAGGTTTACATAGCTTTTCTTTTCCCCCCCTTTAAATTAAATTATTTGTTTGAAACATGCAAGTGTTAAAAGATGCAAAAATTTAAGAAATCAGGAACTGTACACTATTATACTTATGATTACATATTGCGCTGGCCTAGCAATATCTTCAAATATCACACTTTTTTTTCCTTTTTCTCGTCAAAGAGACCAAGAAGTCTGAAACCACAAAAACAAGGGGGTGTGAAATTACCAGTAACAGCCATCTGCCTAGTGCTGATAAAATTAGTTGGTAACTATTTGCCTAGCGCGGTGGTGACGGTAGTTTATAAGAGAAAAGCTGCCATACATAAAACATACAAAATCCAAACCTAAAATTGGATGGGAATGTGAACTTTGTGCACGACACACTTACAATTCAAAGACCATGTAGAGCATGCCATCGGAGCTGTAAGTCTCCAGCAGCTCCACGATGTGGGGGTGTTTCAGCATGTGGCAGATGCTCGCCTCTCGCTTCAGATCTGTGAGAAAGAAATTCAACATGGGCTATGGTGAGACACATCGAACACTTCGGATTTCATCCAGTCTAATTATACTTCCAGGTTGTGAGGTAAAGTGCTAATATTTAAATGTATGCCAAGAGTCGTGTTACTGCTTTGTAGACTTTAAAGTACACCTAAAATGCTTTTCCTTATTTTCTGACATCTATTTACAGCTCCAGTGCTGGATGTCTATACTTAAAATGGAAAAAGTTTCAAATGAAGCTGACAGCATATATGCAAGTGAGTCTTCAGACTGCTCTAAAAGGTCTTTTCCCCCCCGGCTCTTAGCTCTAGGTGATGTCAGTGGGAGTGGATTGGATCCCCAATATCATCATCTCATGCACAAGGTTCAGCTTGTGAGCACGGCAGCCCGCCCACAGACCTTCTGTTTGTGAGACGCATCCAATTAAAGGGAGGAGAGGAAAGCTAAAAGAGCTAAAACAGAGGTTGACTGAGGAGCTGCAGGATAAAAGGAAAAAAGTTTATTTTCAACTGAATCAGGCGAAGCTGCCCTGTTAAGAGTCCAACAATTTGAACACAGAGTTGGAAATGAGCCTAAAAAGTTTGCTTATACAAAAACTGAAGCTTTTCATTCAGGTATTGCAAACTTTCAATATCAGATTAGCTTTTATTGTGTCCTGGGAGAAATTTACCTTGGACAAGCGAGGGAAACACATCATGTAAAATAACAGACAGATGCAAACATTAGTTTACAATTTTACCAATTATGGCACTAAAGAAATTATACCTATTTCATTTACAGTTTTGTATCCTGAACCTTTTCCATGAGGGCATTATAAAGCATGTGATTTTTGGTCCTAGTAATGTTCAAGTCCTGCTTTATCAGTGATATCTGAAGGGACGATGAGGGGAGTATCCCGACTACCTTTCTGCCTATTGATGGACTTTATGCACTCAGTACTATAGGATCAATTTTCCTTCAGCCTAAATGTTTGCATTGTGAAACACATCTCCCTCTATACTATACTCACCCTATAAAACATTTAGATCCTTTATGTTTAAATGCAGAAAACGACAGAGAAACATAGAAATACCTGACTGCTCTTTTCATACCTCAGCAGGCTGCCTGCCACATGACTAACTCAACACTGGGGGGAGCTGCAGAGCATTTAATTTGCCAGGTATCCTCTTCTTGATATATAGACTACAGACTAACTGATCAACAAGCTGGTCTCTACCAGAAAGAATGCACATCTGGACCACTGTCATCAACATCATGACTAATCCAGATCTGCAGAAACAATTGCAACATGACTGTGGGGATTTCTCATGTTTTGACTGCCTGGATGGAAAACACGGCTACGATTAGAGGACAGACTTCTCTCTTGTGAGAAGAGCAACGACACGTTGTCTAATAGACTGACAGACAACTGGCAGGACATGAGGTAACGACAGAGATGCAGACTGCTGAGGCGAGCTAACAGACATAATGTGCTGCTGTTGGGCTTCTCAGTCCATAAAAAGCTCATTTACACACTCCGCTCCCCATCTGTAAGTCTACTGATCTTTGTGTGTGTGAGTGTGTGCTCTCTTTGTGTCGTGACCGCTATCATTATGCAATACAGAGAACCGACAGAGTCCCCACTACAGAGCCCCCTATTCTGCTCTCCCTTTGCTTCCATCATTTCCTCCTTCTCGCCCTTTTCACACCGATCCCTCGCCCGTCTCATCGAGTAGCCATTCTTGAACTTAACAATGCTGCCCACTGTCCAACGAGGAAACGGCTGATGGAGCCAGAGAGGCCTGGAACGCTCTGAATGAAGCTGATGCCGTCCACTGGGCCTTTTCCAAAGCAGGCCTCGGTTAGCCTTTGTCATGTCATGCTAATAAATTGCACTTTGAAGACTGCAGGACCATGTTGCCACACCATCTCCTGATATTCTAACTATCATATAAAACTAATGTACAGAAATCACACTAAGAAGTCATTTAGGCTTGCCCATTCGCCAGTGTTA